TGTCTTTCTAAAAGTATTCATTCCTTGGGTTATATATCATGTAGTCTTTTTTTGTTTTCTTTTTTGGGTACTGGGGATTGAACTCGGGGGCACTTGGCCACTGAGCCACATCCCCAGCCCTATTTTGCATTTTATTTGGAGATAGGGTCTCACTGAGTTGTTTAGCACCTTGCTTTTGCTGAGGCTGGCTTTGAACTCGCAATCCTCCTGCCTCAGCCTACTGAGCTACTGGAATTATAGGCGTGTGCCACTGCCCCTGGCTCACATAGTCATTTGTTAATCTGTTTTTTTTTTTTTTTGTTATGTACATTTCATCTCTGCATAAGTATGTTTCTGTTATCCAAAGTCATGGGTTGCTTTTAGTGCTTATTTTCTACTTTTTATCTGTTTTTTTTTTTTTTTTGTTAATCTGTTTTTGAGATCATTGTTAATGGTTTCATGAAGCGCACCTTCACTTTTCATGATTGTGTGATACTGTTTTACAAATGAGCCTTTATGTGCTCAGGCACTCCCTAGTGGTGGGCATTTCAAATGTGCTGCCATGCCTCTGTTCAGATGTCTTTTTGTATACTTGAGAGTGTTGGTAGGTTACATGCCTGGAAGTAAAATTACCTGGATAAAGGGTGTTTACAGTTTTGATGGATACACCAAGTTGCTTTATGAAGATGCAGAGGGCACTTTGCCTCCCATGTGGAGCTCTCTGTTTTCCAATCCTCAACAATGGTACCAGCAGTCTGTGAAATGGAAAAGATCATTGTAGTTTTAATTTTAGTTGTAAATGAGGCTGAGCATATTAACATATTTCGTTTCCTTCACTGTGTATTGATTATTTGAACTACCATGGAATTCTTGTGAAAATTAAATAAGGGGTACTTTCAGGGGTGACTGACACATAGTATGTGCACAAGAAAATGAACTGTGGTTGTTTGTATGATAACTAACAGAACCTTTGTCAGTGAAGGACACCTAAACATGAATTACAGCTCTGCCCTTAACAGCTGTCTGCTGTGGGCATGTTATGTGCTTCTGAACCCAGCTTTGCCCATTTGTGCTAAGAACTCCGCATAGACTGTTCTTTTTGAAATGTTGAATCTCATGGCCGACCTGTGGGATGGGTGTTAGAAATTAAAGCTGCCCCTGGATTGTTAGGTTCTTGAACGGGATGTAACTTAAATGTGTAAATGTGGTTTCATGATGAGGGGTAACAGTTGCTGTTTTTGAATGGGAGGCCACACAACCATAATTGCTTGTAGCCACATTTGTTTCATCCAGATGTTTTATTGAGAGGAATTTCTTACAGTTGAATTAAACTGTAGTCTGCCAACTGATTTTGTGTTCCCTGGCTACTTCTGTAGGAAAAACAGCAGCTTGGTATAATAATAGGAAGTTACCCTAACTGATGGTTGAGCTGATCAAAATGACCAATGTTATTTTAGAAAGGGTTAGAAATACTTTATGATTACTCTCTTTTGAATCAAATTGGCAATTTGTTGTAAGATTACCCATTCAGAGAAAGACTTTCTTGCTGAGATTCCAACACTTACTGTTTTCCATTGAAAAATGTTATGCAATAACTATAGCTAGGACTTCTGTTACTTATTTACAGTCCTTAAGTCTATTTGCTACTTCCTGCTTTCACAATGGTAAAAAGAGAAAAGATAGGTGAGTTTTTTTCTTCTCCTTTTATTAGTGCTGTGTGTCTGACTCTGTGTTT